CTAAGGATAAGACATCCTCCTGCAGCTGAGGTACGTGGTCCACGATCGCCCCCATCAACTGTATGGTTTCTCTAATCGACTTGAGGCTTCCTTCCAAGCTGGAGACACGACCTAGGTTACTCACTATCGGTGAAATATGAGCCATGGATCGGCGGCTCTGATACCAAATGTTAGGATTCTAGGAGTTTAGCTAAGAATCTGTTAACAAATTGATATTTCTGGATCCAACTCAACATATTTTTATTGCTTGTAATGGATTATTACAACTCAAGGTTCTAGGAAGGCCCTGGACTTAACGAAGAAAGAAGAAGAAAATACATAATGCAGGAAATAAGATAATGGTAGATTTTTGAGTAATCCCCAAACTCCCAGGCAGCAGCTCATGCACAGAATTCACGATCCCTCCTCCTGCCTCCAGACTCCCCTAATATCCCTCGGGCACTAACCGTCTATTCCCTGTTCCCCAGGTGGGCTTCCTCCCTCCATCGGTCGGCCCACTTCATTTAACTCTGGGCCCACTTCATTTAGCTCTGGGCCCACCCCGTTTCCTTTCTTAGCCCTTCTCACATACAGTTTTCTCACCAGAGGCCTAACACTATCAATGAGACTTTATTTCCTCCAGTTCCACCATAAACTAACCCTTCTTTAGCTTCATCTGGTGTGATTAATACAACTGATTTATGTGTTGAACCTACTAATGTCTCTGCTGTTCCTATTGTGCATAGCTCACAACCTATTCTCACAGCTCGGTAGTAAAGACTTCAAGTAGGAGATACTCACCTGATGCAGACCAGAGGCAAAGATGGCATCCGTAAACTAAAGGTGTTCTTGGTAACTGTTCAGGAGCCTAGTACTGTTGAAGAAGCTTTGCAACAAGATAATTGGAAGCAAGCAATGACTAATGAATATTTAGCATTAATGAGGAATCACACTTGGTCCCTTGTTCAATTGCCTGCAAGAAGAAAAGTAATAGGGTGTAAATGGGTATTCAGGATAAAAAAGAATCCAGATGGCACAATCCAGAAGTACAAGGCTCGACTTGTTGTAAAAGGCTTTCATCAAGTGGCTGGTTGTGATTTTACTGAGACTTTCAGTCCAGTAGTCAAACCAACTACAATCCGATTAGTTCTTACTATTGCTTTCAGTAAAGGATGGTGTATAAGGCAGTTGGATGTCAACAATGTATTCTTGAATGGTGACTTGCAAGAGGAAGTGTACATGGAGCAGCCTGCTAGTTTTATTGATCCTTAACAGCCTCATTTGGTATGTAGACTTCATAAGTCCTTTTACGGGCTTAAACAAGCACCAAGAACCTGGTTTGAAAAATTGTATTAAGCCTTAATCAGGTTTGAGTTTGCTTCATCAAAATCAGACTAGTACCTATTTGTTAAGATAACATCACAACATACCACTTTCATTTTAGTGTATGTTGATGATATCCTAATTATAAGAAACTGTTCCACGGCTATTCAAAGTCTAATTGAAGGTTTGAATGAGAAGTTTGCTCTAAAAGACTTGGGTGAAATAAATTTCTTCTTGGAAATAGCAGTGAAGAAAACAAATAAATTTCCAGAATTTTCTTTCCTTCATTTTCTTTCTGTAGTTTTTTCGGATTCTAAATAATATAAGATGACTTAATATTTTTATATAATTGTGACTATGTCTATATTTAGACGTTATGTGAATATATCTAGAACCCACAAAAGATTATTTGATACCCGGTTCTTGTCTATATGGCAATTGGCAAACCATATTTGAAATTATATTTAAACAAATAAAAAGGTGGTTATGATACCCCTTCTTTCTATAAGAGACATATTGTAAATCACTTATCATGGCCAACTATTGTTCATTACGTCAAATAGATGCCCATTCAAATGACAACCTGGAAGATTTTTCATTTTTAGCGAAATCTGTTTTATTCAAACAATAAGCTGTAAGAATTTTCTTTGTTTATGTTAAAAATAAAAATCTAAGAAAAATCCAAAATTTTCGAAGTCAACAAATTAAAAAATGAAAAAGACCCGAAATAAAAATCCAGTGTCGGTAGCGTAAGAAATAGCTAGGAAGAAGCGCGATGGGAAATTGAAAATATCGAGGTCATGCTGACGACTGATGGGGATTTTAATGAATGAAACGCGGATGTCCATTTGACTGACCCTCTCTTTTGAAGCCTCCTAGTCCTAATGCGATAAATTATTGTACGGACATACGAACCGGATTATGCACGGTACACAAGTGGGTCCCACTTTCACAACTTTGTTTTTTGTTTTTTCAAAAAAACAAATCTTTAATGCTCTCATAAACTAATATTTATTTTCCTAATAATCTTTCTAAACTGCGAGGAATCTACCGACTTCCGGCAGAAGTCGGCAAATTACGCGGTTGATCAAAGGTATATTATATTATGTTTTTGCAACCTCTTGCTATTATTATTATTATTTTTTTTTATAGAATAAACCTCTTGCTATTATTACTTATTAGATTCTGTCCCTTAATTATAATTCCTCTAGAATTTATAGGCTATTCTCCTTTCAAAAAAAAAAAAAAAACCCCATTTTTCTTTTTTAATATTTTGCAAAAAAAACCACAAAAAAAAAAAAAAAACCCCATTTTTCTTTTTTAATATTTTGCAAAAAAAACCACAAAAAAAAAAAAAAAACCCCATTTTTCTTTTTTAATATTTTGCAAAAAAAACCACAAAAAAAAAAAAAAAATCCCAATTTTGTCTTTTAATATATTGCGCAAAAAACACCAAAAAAAGAAAGGAAAATTTTGATTGTAATTCATTTCTTCTCTATACTTCCTATGCACATTTGTTTATCTCATGGTAATTAACGTATTGTCTTCAATATCTGATTGCATAGGCATAATCCAATTGACTTTGATGGTGTTTTAAACCCAAAATAATCCAAAAATAGAAAACAAATAAATCTTTCTAGAATTTTGCAATCGAGTTCAACGTTTTGGTTAAATAGATTATAAATTGATCATACCGAACTTAACACCCTCTTTCACACATTCCTCCGGAATTATTTTTAAACAACTTAACAAGGTCGTTTACAAGTAGCCTTAAAAAAATAAAAATAAATAAACAAAAACAAGAGAAAGAAAACACTATCATTCTTTGCTTTTATTAGAATTTAATATTCTTTTTGACTTATACGTAATATTCTTCATCTTAAGCAATTAATAAAATTCATCACTCACGAGTCCTATATTCACACTATCAACAGTGTTTGGCATCCCTTCTTTTTCAATCTTATTTTTGAAGTAATTGCACGGTATATCATCCGTACTTTTTATTACAAAATATGCGTTGTCTTAACTGTTACAGAAGCGACAAAGTAGATTCATCATCCATAACTTGTATAGCTCATTAATTGTTCACTAATTTTATTGTGAGAAAAAATAATTTTCATTAGTGGGGAGTTCAATTAGGAGTATTCCTAATACGATTTGAAGTATTTAAAATGTGATGGAATGAATCTGTTTTGTCAAAATAAAATTTTTCATCCTTACCCTTAAAAAAAGAAAGGGTATTCTAGTAGTTTTCTCATTTTTTTCTCTCCAAATCACGATTCATTGAAATAACTAGTGCCATTTTATTGGCAATTTTTATCTTTTTAAATCATAGTTCTCTTTCGATACACGTTTTGCACAGAAATTCAGACTAATTGTCCACATCTAACATAAAAATCCGCAGGTTCTTTCACATCAATCGAGCGACAATACATAATACCTTTCTCATTGAGGTGAAAGTGAAACCACGATGTTCACTAATCGAGTAAAATGCATGCTCACTCTTTTCACAAACTAAGCAAGTTTTATTTCTAAACCCGTTATAGTCACAGAGAGATAACTTGTAAGAATTGTTTTGTTGCCAACAATAAAAAGTAACATCCGATTAAAAAGAGCTAATCAGCATATAAATATTGCATTTTTCAAACGATTAAAAAAATACATATTGGTTGGCATCTTCAGTGCCTCATTTGAAAATAACATTGCTCTTTTTACGACATTTCCTTTTTTTTTTTTTTTTTTTTTTTTTTTTTTTTCCTAAATGGAGATAGCCATACTTCTACGTTGTGTTCCAGTTAGCTCAGGTATGGTTTTCTTCAGGTCAATTTGTCTTTTGAAGTGGATTAGCTGCAATCCTACGTCTATTAGATAAAACGGACTTTTCCTTCCAATCTCTGTTTTCATACATACGGTTGCTGTAGTTTATGTTCAATTTTTTTTTTGTTTTCCGCGGTTGGATTTACCGTCGTTTTTCGAGTCGTCAGAAAGCAAAGATAGGTCGTGAAGGCGACTTCACAACTTTCAGAGAAGGCATAAAAAACAAGAGGTCCCCTTCTTGGTGGGAGGGTATTGTGTTAGACAAATCGATATTTAGATGTATAAATAACATGATTTAATACAACAGCACGTGCAATTAAATTAGATAAGTATAGAAATAATCACAATTTATTTTCGATATCGAAAAAATTTCCATTAATTCATGGAAGATTCTCGAGGGTCAGATGCTTAAGTGACTTTTTTTTGATATAGAAGTGACCAAATGACCATCATTTGATGTCAGTCCAAGCAGAGCATTTTTCTTTCTTTTTTACCTGGAAAAAAGAGGGAATTATTGGCTCAGCTAAACATATTTGTAAAATAGACATATTAAATAGAAAAGGCAAGGGAAAAGCTATAATCCAGTTAAGTACAAACGAATAAGCCACATGACCCAAATTCATGGCTATTAAAAAAAATATATAGAAAAGCAGTGTACTATAATAATAAAAAGGTACCTAAACCTTATTTATTTTGAGAAATTGAATTGGAGGTTAATAATAATCGACTAAAAGTTATTGTTATGCATAATAATTTATCTTAGCTTTTCATTGCACTATACTTTTTAAGTATACAAAAAAATGTTTAACCTGGCGAAAGCGCGTTAACAAATTATCATCCAGCGAAAGATAAAGAAGGAAAGCTAGCAGTCTCCAGGTTGGTATCCACAGAAATCTATGCATGCTTTACAAGCTGGTGAGCACATGAAAATGCAAGTGCTCTACGTCCCCACATGTCGGAGTAATAGTTGAGTCCGCAGTTGAGCAAGTGTTGAGGACTGCTCAAAACAAGAATCTGGGTCTCTCATGAAGCGCCGAAACACAAAAGGGTCTCCCTTTTTGTAAAGGTCAGAGCTCCCAAAATTAGAGTATGCTTAACCAACAAGAAAGTCCCCAATGACACTCGAGATCATTTCAACATCCTAAAACTGTTACTCCTTTGATGATCCATCAACAACGATTTCAGGCATATAAATAAGCTGTACGACTTGAATGGATATACTTTTCATGAGGCAGAAACAGCGATTAGGGAAGACCCGTTATGCACCATGCTATTCCCATGATTAAGATAATGTTGAATCAAATTTGAGTATTTCCCAAGGTTTGCCTCGGCTCCTGTCTTGATCATGAGAATAAAAAGCTTCAATGCTTCTTCCATATTACCTTGCTTGCCGAGGCCATTGAACAAGGCGGAGTAGTTAATAACAGATGGAGCGATTCCTTCTTTGATCATTTTGTCTTTCAACTTAAAAGCTTCCTGAACATTACCGGTCTTGCAGTACGCATCCATCAAAATATTATAGGTCACAACATTAGGAGCTAAACCCTTAAGATGAAGTTTATAGAAAAGCCTCTCCGCTCTTTCAAGATTTCCTGACTTACACAAACCATTTATAAGGGCGTTATATACAGCAATGTTGGGAACAAGACCCCTATTCAGCATCTCATCTCGTAAACTGAAAGCCTCATTCAAGTCACCTGCAGTTGCGGTGGCATGAATTAGGGTACAGTAAGTATAATTATCTGGAGAAAAATCTCGAAGCAACAAGGCAGATAGAAACTTTCTTGCATCAGAAACCTTCCCAGACTTGCAGAGTCCGAGAATAGCTATGTTGTACACAATGTTGGTGGGCAAAGATGCACTTTTGGCACTTTCACCAAGAAAATCTGCAATTCTCTGAATTTCTTTATTTGTAATGCCAGCTTTACATGGCTGGAAGGAAAATCCACATTCTGGAAAATTTTCAAAATCTACTAACTTATGTAATAGTAGACTTCCTTCATCATTCCTACCAAATCTGTAGAGAGTACTGGTAATTTTGCTATGAATAGCTACATTAGGAGCTAACCCTTTACCAATCATCTCAAAATACGCATTGAAAGCTTTACTCAACATCCCTTCATTGCACCAACCAGCAATAAGGGCTCCATAAGTGACAATATCAGGGGATAGTCCCCTAGTCTGCATCTCAGCAAAAAGGTCCATCACTCTACTTAATTTCCTAGATCTAAAGACTCCAGTTATAAGAGAATTATACATTTGAATGGAAGGAGATATTGCTTCCCTTTCCATCAATTCTTTTACTGTGAAAGCTTCTATAACATTTCCAAATTTACAATACCCATCACTCAGGGTTCGATAAGTAATTTCATCAGGTGCACATCCAAGCTCCTTCATCTTGTTGAAAACGTTCTCTGCTTCAACTATTTGTCCCATCTTGCATAGTCCATTTATCATTGTATTGAAAAGAAACCTGCTCTTAGTGAAACCTTGGGCTAAAATATCATTCCATAGCCTAATCGCACTGCCAAAATCTTTCATTTTGAATAACCCATCAAGCAGAATACAATATCCAATCTCATCAGGAGTCACACCTCGTTTCATCATTAGCTCCCAAAGACACAAAGCATCATTGAAAGCACCTGAATGACATAAACCCTTGAGAAGAGTATTATAAGTTACAACATTCGGATCAATTCCTTCTCGAAGCATCTTATCACAAATCTTGAAAGCCGAGCTCGTTTGACCCTCCTTACAGTATCCATGCACCAGAGTATTATAACTATATGAATCCGGTTTTAGACCCCAATCTTGCATGCGCACCAACCCTCTTTCTGCTTCATGAAATTGACCAAGTTTACAATACCCATTGATCAGAGAATTGCATATGAAAACATTCATCTTCAAGCCTAGGTGCAACATCTCATCTCCAATCCTAATAGCATCATCTATTCTACCAGCTTGACAATAGCCATCTAACAACGCGCCATAAGTTTGCTCATCCACAACAACGGATTCATCCTCTTTCATTCTCAAAAACACTTTCTCCGCTTCCTCCATCCCACGTTTCTTGCAGTAACCCTTAATCAAAAGGGTATAACTGACCACACTTCTCGAAATTCCCTTCTCAGACATCAACTTCAACACTCCTTCCGCTCCTTCCACATCTCCCAAACTAACATACCCATCAACCAAGCTATTGTAAGTCACCGAATTAGTTTCAAAACCTGATGTTTCCATTTCTTTGACAAATTCCACGGCTCTGCCAACTCTACCTTGCTTACAATAGGCGTTTACCATTATAGCACAAGTGAACGCGTCAGGATCAATACCAAGCCTAATGACCTGACCATAAACAAGCACTGCAACATGATGTTCACCATTCTTTACCAAATTACTCAACAAAGAATTACAAGACCGCAAACTCGGAACCCGACCACACTTTCCCATATTATCAAACACATGCAATGCATACTTTGTCAGGCCTTTCTCAGCATAAGCCTTCAGAATCATATCGAAAACGGTTGGGGAAAAAGAGAACTCTTCATAAACCCTAACAAGCTCATTCCAAATAGTAAAAGCCGAGTAATTATTCCTACAGAGACTTACCAATTCCTTCAAATGCGCTCTGGTCTCATCGTACATCCGAGCTCTAGACAATATATGAACAATTACGCAGTAAGACTTTAAATTAGGTCTGAAATTTTGCCGCTTCGAGGCCAATCGAAAAAACCCTAGGCAGGCATTGGGGTTTAGCTTCAGCTTTCGCAGAACGGAATCCAGGAGTTCATCAGAGAACTGGAAGGAGAGCTCGTCAATGGCGTTGAAGCGTTGGAGAACGAGGAGGCGGGAGATCCGGTCGACCAATTCGGGTCGGGTCAGCTTGTACTCATCCCGGAGCTTCCATTGGAGGGGACGGGACACGTGCAGTGATCTGCGTGGCCAGAGCAAGATGTGAGGAACGCAAGTTTTTCGGAAGTTGCCGAGCATTTGGTGGAGGTAGGATTTGTGCGAAGAGAGAATGGAGTTGTCCGCGTTGGGTTCTGTATCATCATCGTCATCAAGGATTCACCATTGTTGGCCATGAATTTGCATAATTTGTGTAAGATGATTTTCGAGGCTGTGAAGAAACACTATGAACTTGTGAGAGAGTGGAGAGATTATTGATTAGAGTAATGAATATGTTTCTCTCTTCGATTACTTTGCCGGGAAGGTTTGGAAATGGATGCTTGGAGCTAGGTCGAAATAGAGTTGTCACGGCACGGCCTTTCTAATCCAGGCCCGTGGAGGGCCTGGGCCGTGCCAGGAACTGGCCCTCAGCCTTAGTTCATAAGGGCCAGGGTTGGGTCCGGGCCCAAACCCTTCACGGGCATACCTTTTTAATTTTTTTTAATATTTAATTAAAAAAATATATATTATATGTCCTTAAAATGTGTCATTTTATTAAATTGAGATAATACGAATACATATATAATTAATTGTCTCGTTAAAAATCTTGCTAAATAAAACCCGTTGGGAGATCATGATGAAAACTTAGCAAAGAAAAAAAGAGTGCAGTATTTTAGGATAAGTAAATTACAAAACATAAGTATTTCCAGAAGATTATGTTATGTCTAAGTTAAAAAAATATTCTTGAATTGAATCATCCGCATATTGTTATTTTCGTCTTCTAGTATATTCCCAGTATTTGACGCACATTAGCCCCTCTAAGATATCTGGATACATTCTGCTTCTCTTCTCGTCAAGAATTCAGTTGCTTGCACTAAATGCTTGCTCTGATGCTACCGTTGACACTGGAGTTGTCAAAATGTCGTGTGCTATTATGAACAGTGTTGGAAAATGATCGGTCTTGCTCGTCCACCACTGTAAGATGTCTAGTTTATTGTCATCGATTATAAAATTTGATTCAAAATATTTTACCAGTTCGATAGTCGTTTGTATTGATGACGATCTTGACATTTTCTCTTTCTTCTTCAAGAAGCTCCACGATGAGCCTTTAGGCCCCGAACTGCTAGTTGATGTCGAAGTTCCTTGTTCTTTTTGACATGTTCTGTATTTTGCTTATTACAAACCAAATTCTTTTTCTAACATTTTCCTAGCATCAGTAATAGTTAGTTGCATATCAATACCCAAATTTTATGCTGTAGCAATCATTAAAGATTCTACTCCACATCTAGGATCTAAAATAGTTGTTAATGCATATAACATAGGACAACCGGACCAATAATTTTTAAATTTAGCTTCTATTAGCTTAACTATAGTTCCAAAAAGTTCAATATCCTTATAATAAGAAAATGTTTCTGAAATATTAAAAAGTTAATGCAAAGCTAAATGTGAAGTAAGATAATAAACTTCAGAAAGTAATTCAGTAGCATTGTAAAACACTTCTAAAAATTTTAAAAAGTACTCACCAATACTCCAATATGTATTGAAAATTAAAATTTGATCGTTATTACTGTTGACATACGTTGTGATGAGCTATTCATGCGTAAGTGTTGTCTTCAACATTAAGTAGGTGGAGTTCCACCTTGTCTCACATCAGTTGGAAACTTTCTTAGGTGCATCTGGCTACTCCTGCAATATTGTCATAATTCTTGAAGCCAAGCTCCAGAACTAGATATAAAGGATAAAGATTCTCTAACATTTGTTAGATTAGAGGAAATATGTTTAATTCCTGCTTGTACTACTAAATTTATTATGTGACATGCATATTGTTGATGAAAAATTTCACCACCAAACGCTGGTTTCAAACTACATTTAAACATGTTAATTACAGTCGTGTTAGCTGATGCATTATCAAAAGTAATAGTTAAAATTTTATCTTCTATTCCATAAAACCTGAAAATTTCCATTATTGTTCAAAAATAGCATTTGCGTTATGAGAAAATGGACATAAACGAAAACATATTATTCTCTTTTGTAAAACCCATTCATCATCAACATAATGTGCCGTGACGCATAAATATCTAATTTTATTGCACCCTTCCCATAGGCAATGTTTGGGCACATTTTCAGATTGTGCCCTTCCCGGGCCCAACGGTCATAAGGTTCGCGGGCTAAGGCGGGCTTTCTCGCGGGCTTCTAGCGGGCTTCCTCGTGGGCCAAATTGTGTGTGGGCTGGGCCGAATCAGGGTTTGGGCCGAACTAGGAGTGGGCCAGGTCGCGAGCTTCAATGGCTAGGGCCGGGCCTAGGCCGCGGGCTGAGAAGTCGCGGCCCAGCCCTAGCCTGTCAAACGGGCCTGGCCGACACGACCCGTAACAGTACCGTATCGGGCCTGTTGAATCCTTATTGTTACAGGCTGGGTTGGGTCGGACCGTCCAGCCCATTTGACACCTCTAGGTCGAAAGACGACGTGTGATGTAATTTTTTACAGACGAAGCGTTAATATTCATCTTAAAAATGACACATTGTTATGTTTAATAGCTTGATGTTGTTATTCAGCAAAAAAAAAAAAGCTTGGTATCGTTCCCATTACAAAGCGATATTTTTTGTTGTCGTTCTTTTCTCGAGAGACGACATGTTACCTTTAAGTTATTTTTGACATTTCAGTGGTAAAACGGCAAGTTGTTTATGAGTCACACAAAAACAATGTATCTTTTTTATGTAAAAAAATTATGAGAGAATTGTGAACTTACCTAAGAGTGCATGAGTCTTAAACTCTTGATAATACCTTTTCGACTAATATAATAATTTTGACTGAAAAAATATTAATTAAAAATAAGAGATAAAAATCTAGATTTATGCACTCTAAAAGAGTATTTGTCTCTTTTTTCTAAAAATTATTAGAAAATTATTAAGCCATTTGGAATGAAATGTCGTCATTATTAGTTCAGCAAACTGTCATTTAAATGAAAAATGACCTACATAGTATATGTTGTTATGAATAGTAGCTGTCCACTTTAGTTAAAGTTACTATGTAAGTCAGTCAACGTTACTGTTCACGTCAGAATTTTACTGTGCAAATAGTAACCGTGAATAGTGCTGAAAATTTTTCTATAAATAAAGCTTTAAGGCTCTTCATTTTGTATACATTCACAAAATTAATGAAATTCTCTCTCTCTAGTTTCTCTCTCTAAAGTTTTCTTCTTAGTTTTGCATTTTCTTATTTTTCATAACACGTTATCAGTACGAACGTTCTATTCCTACTGCGATTGTCTACATTCATTAATTTAAAGAAAGGAGATTCTGATCCAATTACAAGCATCAACCTTAAAGTCAAAGAAAGTAGGTCCTAGCCCTAGTCCTACTACAAGTTTCTACCCTTATTAATTCAAGTGAAATATATGTCAATATACTCTATTATTTTATATTCATACAAAGGAGGGTTATGTCACAAACGTATTATAATTTTTATAATTTTATCATCATACACCATTCGAAAGGGTTACTTAGTAGTTTGGCGTGTTTGTATTCTCATAATTGGACGACTATGCCGTCTGCAGGTCTGCATGTAATAATATCTCATTGCACTTTCTGCATGCATATTACTATTCTCATCTGTCTATTTTTCTACATCGTTTGAGGTATACAATTGTAATTTTTCTTCCACTTCTAACGGTAATATAATGGATTTTTACACCACTATTAACAGCTATAAACGGCTAGTTTTTACTCTATAAAATGTGGTTTTTCTTAACCCATACAATTCACTTCTCATCTTCTCTTCTCCCATCTTAATTTTTTATCTTTCACTTCTCATCTTCTCTTCACTATTCTTATTCACGATATGGAGAATATAGTGATGATGTTTGTTATTTTAGTAGCAGTTTTCTATACTTTTGCTCTTTTTATTGGAGATCATTCTCCATACAAATATCAGTTTTTCCTTACAATACTCATGCTTGTAATATTTCTCATTTTATTTATTACTATTATGATTAACATATAATTTTAATTGTACTCTCTATTGTAATAATAATACTGTGATTCTTATCATATCGATATTCTATTATAGTTATCACCATGTCAAATCTTACTAAATTTAAGTTCGTTGCACTCAACATCACGGGAAATAATTATATGTCTTGCATCATAGATGTAGAAATGCATCTAGAGTCAATAGGTTTAACCGATACAATTAAAGAAAATAATTCCAAGTCACCACAAGAAAAGGCGCAAGTTTTGATTTTCCTTCGTAATCATCTTGATGAAGGTTTAAAATGGAAATATCTCACAGTTAAAGATCCACTTGTTCTTTGGAAGAATCTAAAGGAAAGATATGACCACCAGAAAGAAGTCGTACTCCCAACCCCGGTTTCTGCGCTTTTCCAGTGGCGGCAACCCCTACCTCCATAGCCACAGCATGGTGGAGCAGCTGCCACTCGCAATGAGTGGAACAATTTATGTTTCTAGGATTTTAAGAAAGTCAACGACTACAACTCTGCCATGTTTAGAATTGTTTCGCAACTGAAATTTGTGGAGTAAATATCATAGATGATGAAATGCTAGAGAAAACCTACTCTACTTTCTATGTAGAGAAAGAAAAGCTTGTTCACATGTGGAGGTACTAGAGAGATAGAGAATTTAGAGAAAGAAACTAGAGAGAGAGAGTTTCATTAATCTTGTGAAGGTATGCAAGTCAAAGTTACCATGCAAGTCAGTCAAAGTTACTATGTCAGTCAATAAATAGTAAGTACTGTGTAAATATAATTGTGAATAGTGCCGAAATTTTCTTATAAATATAACTCTTCATTTTATATACTTTCACAAAATTAATAAAATTCTCATTCTCTCTAGTTTCTCTCTAAAGTTTTCTTCTTAGTTTTCATAACATATGCTATATATTTTGTCGCCTGAATAAAACTTTGTTGTCGTTTTTTAGAGGGACGACCAGTCGCTTACTTTTAAAATTTTCCACACAAATATTAACATATTGAGAATTAGTACATATTTAATGGAATAGTAGTATTGTTTTAGTATCACCAGTATATGCACCTGTAGTTTAAACTCTCCAATGTTTAAAATCATCATCACAGAACAAAAATTAAAGGCTCGATCCGTTCATGACGTAAAAAGATTTCATTATTGAGAAAAGTACATAGTCTAATCATTGATGTGCTTCTATAAAAGTTTATAATTTATGTGATTCTAAATAATTGAATATTATTATAGCATTTTATCTTCTTTTTATTAATTAAATAAAAATTACTTATTTTTGAGTAAAGTGACATAAATTATATTTTTTATCATCTTAAATAGTATTTCTGATTTTTTTCTTCATTAATTATTCTTGTACTCAAAAAATTACAAACACATCATACCAAAATTGACAACAATGTATGAATAATATATAAACGGTTATGAATAGTAGATGTCCAATTTAGTTAAGTTATTGTACAAGTTAGTCAAAGTTATTGTGTAAATCAGAAGGTTACTGTGCAAATCAGAAAGTTACTGTGCAAATAGTAAGTACTGTATAAATAGTAACTGTGAATAGTACTGAAAACTTTCTTATAAATAAGCACTAAATCTCTTCATTTTGTATATCATCACAAAATTAATGAAACTCTCTTTCTAATTTCTCTCTCTAAAGATTTTCTTTTTAATTTTGTATTTTCTTAATTTTCATAACATAAACGACATTATAAGAAAGGCAAGAATAGAGGAAACGGAATTAAATAAAGAAATCCATTCCAAAAGAAATGATAAACAATGGGGAGGGAAAAAAAAAGTTAACAGGGAAGCCGCAAAGCAAAGTGCTCTACAAAGATACCGTTCACTTCACCGATTCGAGTTTAGAATTCGAGTTTTGCTACAGTAAAAAGCTCTCAAAAACAGTCACATCTAACTTTTTTACTACAGTAAAAAGCTCTCACATAAAGTCACATCTCAACTCGAATTAAAAACTCGAATCAGCGAACTAAACGGGCCTATATATGCCAAATGACCAATTATGTTCCTCGGAAATACTTGTTTTTTATGTGAGTAGACTATTGTATATTCAAAGCAAAAAAAAAAAAAAAAAAAAAAGAATACTATTGTATAGTATAACGATTTCCTCTATAGTCCTTACTTTTCTTTCTGGCTTAAGTGATCCTTACAATTCTATTCATTCCGGACGTAGAAGTAGGAACAAAAGCGAAATATATTTTTATCAAACACGATGGTCCAATAACAAACCTATACTTCGGAGCTGCTTAGCTTTGTCGCTTTATAACCATAGAATTGACCAATTCTTGGTGGAGGCGAAATATATTACTCGGTCTGGTCTAGTGTTTTGGCGACCAGTGCTTAGATAATCAACAGAGACTAATTAACAACATTCTAGACTTAATATAGTTTACTAATTATTCTTGTTCTTTCCCGCGTGGATCGGCGTAACCACGAAGTTATTGTGGATAAATGTTTTTTTTTAATTATTTTATTATACTCCATTTTCGACTTTTCGTTGTGTTGGGACCACTGTTGTAGTGAAAGTAGTAGATTGCCTTTTTTTGTTTGTTTGTTTGTTCATCAAACTAAAAAACAAAAAACAAGTTCACTCATTTTCCTCTTCTATTTATGCACACATTGCAGGTCTAAAGCTTGAATTGATTTTATGAAATTTTGTCTTAGTACACACAAACATGAATTACGAGCCAGCAAAACTTGTGCAACTTATTTAGCTAGACTTTCAAAATGTTCTGTTCTTCCATACCAATGACACTATTACTAATTATTTAAACATAATTAAGTTTTGATCAAGTCAAGAACCGATATTGTATTGTTCCCAAATCAAGTCAATAAAACAAAAACTTTATTATCATTAAATTTTATATTCGTAAACGCGCTTACATTGCTACCATAGATTGGTTGCTCCGTTCCATATATCATTATTACTCAATCCTCAACTTTTCTCATGATCATCCAATCAACCATTGTTCAAAAGAACAAAACCTTGATCACCATGGCCCAAATTCTCTTAACCTTCTACATACTCATGACTTGTCTAGCTATGAACGTCCACAGCCAACAAGATTACACAGGTATATCATCACAAGACTGCGATAGTAACAACCAAACAGGGAATAATTCTCAACCTTATCTCTACGCCTGCAATGGCGAGAAGCGATTTTGCCAAGCCTTCCTCATCTTCAAATCCAAACCACCTTATAACTCCGTCAAAACCATTTCTAACCTCACATCTTCAAGCCCCAAAGAGCTCGCTAGAGTCAACAACGTCACGGAATCTCAACTCTTCCCAACAAACAAGGAGGTGATAATTCCGGTGGACTGTTCTTGTGCCGGTCAATACTACCAAAAAAACACCTCAATAATCATCGGTGACTCTGAAACATATTACGTCTTAGCAAACGACATATTACAAGGTTTGTCCACATGCAATTCTCTTATGCGTGACAACAAAGAAGGTGAACTGGATTTGATTGCTGGCATGGAACTGAAAGTTCCTCTTAGATGTGCTTGTCCTACTAGGAACCAATTCCGAAATGGCACAAAGTATTTGTTAACGTACCCACTTAATAGTGGAGAATCCGTTTCAGATATTGGTGAAAGATTCAATGTAACTGAAAAAAGCATACTTTACGCAAATGGGTTTTCGGAGGATGATCCTAATCCAACCATTTTCACCTCCACGCCAATTCTCATTCCTCTTCCAACTGAACCTTCAAGTACTTCCTTAACTATAATCCAAAATAGTGATGATGATACTAAAGCACCAACTTTTCCTCCGCTAGTTGGTTCTGATCCAAGGAAGCAGAAATCAACGCGAAAACTTTACGTGGTTATCGCAATCACGGCGGGTTGTTCTCTTCTAGTTCTGGTCGTTGCTTTATCTGTTTTTTTCCTGGTTTACAAGAAGAGACCAAAAGGGTTATTGTTACCTCGCATGGGAACGAGACGGTTATCACCGGAGGATCTCCGTGCGGAAATCGCGAGCTTTGAGAAAGGTATACATGTGTATGAAATAGAGGAGATCAAGAAGGCCACGGAGAGCTTCAGTTCCGAGAGGCAAATCAAGGGTTCTGTCTTTTACGGCGTGTTTGGGAAGGACACAACTCTGGCCGTGAAGAGAACGAGGAAAGATGTGTTTAAGGAAGTGAACATTCTGAAGAAGCTTAACCATTTCAACTTGATCAAACTTGAAGGTGTGTGCAAATACAATGACCGTTTCTATCAAGTCTTTGAGTACATGGAAAACGGATCACTAAGAGAATGGCTATGCGAAAACTGTAGCTCGGAAAAGAACTGGAGTTGGGCTATGAGGATTCAGATTGCTTTGGATATTGCCCATGGACTTAACTATCTTCACAGCTTCACTAAACCAGGTTATGTCCATAAAAACATCAAGAGCAGCAATATTCTTCTTGACGGTAATATGAGGGCAAAGATTGCAAATTTTGGGCTCGCAGGACCAGCAATGGATCTTGAAACGACAACCACTACTAGTACCAGTACCGATCATTCGCAAAGGACAACAGCGAGTCATGTTGTCGGGACAAGAGGCTATGTGGATCCTGCGTACTTAGCCACCGGGATCACCACTCCAAAGATTGATGTGTTTGCGTTCGGGGTGGTGGTGTTGGAGCTGATGACTCGGAAAAATGCTGTTGCCGTACAAAATGGGAGAGAGGTGCTGCTTTCGAAAGCGGTTGTGGAGATCATGGAAGGAGATTGTCCAGAAGCTGATCTTGGCGTGTTTATTGATCCTAGTCTTAAAGAAGATAATAGATATAGAGAGTTTGCGTTGAGGCTGGCTAAGTTAAGTGTTGCTTGTTTGAAGAGAGAACCGGAGAGTAGGCCAAGCATGGCTGAGGTGGTTTCAACTTTGTCAAAAATTCAGGCAGATCATTTACAGAAGATTGATTTGTAGGACGTGTAATTTTTTTTTTTCCCTTCTCGGCTGTGTAATATAAGTTTTATGGTTCATTATTCAAGCAATTAATGTGAATATATATACATTATTTATTTATTTATTTATTTTTTGTCCGTTATGGAAGTTGAAAGATAATCGTATTATCTTTAGGCAGCACATGAATCATTATTATTCTCTCACTTTCTCCATCGTTTGGTTAAGGCCTTGAACCGGAGACCTACCTCATTTTTATATTTAGGTTAATGACTGAGACTTAAAGGCTGCTTAGCTTCCAGGTGATGATTGACGCTATATTCATATTTATTTAATAAAAAAAAAAAAAAAAAAAACCAATGCCGGGGCATATTCGGGGGATTAAAAGACCAATTAAAGGATGCTTAATTATGTGAATTTGTTAATAAGAAATCCGTCTTTGCGTCTTAACTTCATTTAAAAGAAGTGAAATCCATCAACAAGTTGAAGATGGAAACAAAATTGACTTGTTCAGATTTGTCCAAACTCAGAAGTCTTATCACCCAACTCTTTACGCGGTGTGATTATTCATAACAAAATCATTTTTCAAAATCAAGCAAAAAAAAAAAAAAAAATCATTTTTCAAAAGGAGCTTGAATTTGGGCCCTGAGGGCCCCAAGTTGTCGTTGCTGTGGCACTGGCAACTGGCAAGTTCTTTTTGGCAGCTTCAGCCCCATCAACGAGACATTTTAGAGCCACACGCTTGTGTCACGCTCGAAGTTAAAACGTTACGAGTAGAAGACAAATGTCTCTAGTCTCATGTATCTCGTCCGCTTTCTATGAAGTAGCGACCCAACACTTATCTCGCCCACGGAAACTGCACCCGCTCACCACTTTCGCCGCAGTTTCTCCAAAACAAGATTCATTTCATTTCCCCCCCATTATCCTCAAACGGATACTTTGCAATTTGCATGGCCTCAACCTTATCCTATATATTACATACATACATATATATATATATGTGTGTGTGTGTGTGTGTGTATATCGTATATATAATCCCATCAACACACAACTCAATATTCCCATGCATAATAGCATTACACAACACAAAAACACCTGATCACACTTCCATGGCTGCTGCTATAGTTTCTAATTCCAAACCCCACAGCCACAAATGGTTCGCACCCAGCAACTTCAAACTAGTCCTCCCTCACTTTGGTTCAAAATCCAAACCCCAAGTTCCCTCTACTGCAACCAAAATCCGCTCTATACAAGAAGACTACCAAAAAGTATTTCGTCACTTTGATGCCAACGGAGACGGGAAGATTTCGAGCGAGGAGCTTTGCACTTACTTTGCCTCCATAGGAGACTCCATGTCCTCCGAGGAGGCTCAGATTGCGGTGACTGAGTTCGATGGCAATGGCGATAACTTCTTGGCGTTTAAAGATTTTGTGAGGCTAATGGAGCGAGACCAAGGCGAGGCAAACGATGATTTGAAACGGGCTTTTCAGATGTTTGAGGCTGATAAAGGCTGTGGATGCATAACCCCGAAAGGGCTGCAAAGGATGCTTAATCGGCTTGGAGATGCCAAATCATATCAAGAGTGTATTTCCATGATTAGGGTCTTTGATCTTGATGGAAATGGTGTCCTTGATTTCCATGAATTCCTCCATATGATGACTTCAAATTGATGATTCTCTGCTTGCATATACAAATTCTTTCTTGATATTCAAATATTTCTTTTTTTTTTGGTGTCTGTACAATTTCTTTGTCGTTTTGGAAAATTAGATATTTCGGCTTAATCAATAAAATTGGAATTTTGTGTTGTGTTGCCCACAGATTTATCTTTCTCTGTTTTGTTTCTCTGCGTTCTCCGCATATTTTTCTTTGTTTTGTTTCTTGCTTTTTTCCTTTGCTGGGAGCTATACATACATGCTGTGGGAAAATCAATAATGGCATTACAACGAAAAACCATAGAACCAGCACCACTAAAACCTGCTTTATACTGAATGAATATTCTGTGCACTGTCAATCGAATCAGTTGAAAAAAAAAAAAAAAAAATCAAAAGAGCAAGCTTTAATTCTGCTAAAAGGAAGGAAAAAATAAAGAAAGAAAAAGAAAAGAATCGGGTATATCAATAAGGAAAGGTCCCCGTCATTCGAATATGGTCGAGGGTCCTGCGAAGACCATATTTGTGCACTGCCTGTTGACCGGCTCTAAATCCATCTCCATACACTGGTGAAATGTCTGACTCTATCTGATGCTTAAAGAACTCCCCAAGCTTCCTCTCAAACTGAGATCTCGTTCCCTTTTTCGATGCAGTTGAAGAATACGATGATGACAGCGAGGATGATGATGAGGATGATGATGAGGTCGACGCTACATTGCTGCCTGATCCAGACATGAGCTCTGCGTCCAACCACATATGAGCCACAACTTGACAGATTCCTTCTTCAACATCCTGACTCAGAGTTCGATAACCTTCAGGAAAACATAAGCGTTTTTAGATGGTTTAACAATAGAATCAGTTCAAGTGAAAATAGGCATATGCTTCTCATTCTTTGAATTTGAAGTTATATTGAAAAGAAAGAAGAGAAGACTATATTAACTGAAAAGAATACCACCTTTGAGCCGTAGCCATGCATGCATCATCTCATGAGCTAGGATTGACCCTGTCAGCAATCTGCATATAGCCAAAAAAACATGTATTTCACTTACGCAGTATCATAATGCTAAATTTCCTGAATTTTTCCTAGTACTTTTTTTTGACGAAATTTTTTCCTACTAGTTTATGCCTACGTTAATTTCAGCATTGCATAGGATCCCCTTTTTGTACGAAATTTCAAATGCAAAGAGCGCAAAAAACAGAAGAATACCTTGGGAGCCCATACAATATTAGAATCGCAGTCACCTCGCAGCGACGTGTGAGTTTGTATGGTTCTGTTAGCATCTCCGTGGCTCGGTTTCCTGCTCCAAACTTTGGCCGCCTTGATATCTGATGATTTTGAGGTTAATGAAACATCACTTGCGGAGTAATTAGAAATTCTTCTTGACAAAATTAACAAAATAATTTCAAGAACTCTTACAGTGCTAATAGTTTGTTCCTCGGAAAGGCAGAGACCTCTGGTCTCAGGCATGTGATAATGGCCCTGACATGACAGAGAAAGAATGGGATTTAGCTACAAACTTGAGAAGAAAAAATGCTTAACGAACAAACTATGTACTATGACTTATGGACAGAAATGGAAGCCACATCTGGACCATAGAGAAACTATTGGGCATAAGAATTCCTATTGACATTCTGACATAAGCATGGAAAGATGTTCAATTACATTTCTTTCTCCCTCTCTTGCTTCATTTAGTGCTTGTCTTTCAACCAAGAGTAATGGAACTTGCTGCTCCAGCTTCATATTTAAACCTTCATAAAATTCTTGTATATCAAGATAGAGAGGTTGGCATTGACTGGTATCCATGATTGCAGAGTCAAGGCATTCTAGGCAGAGCTTTCGACCATCATTAAGGGTGACATATCGCGTGTCTCGTGGCTGCATAAAATGAAATATGCATCATGGTATTAGCAACTTGCGATAATAATGTCATTCTCCTTGTAGTTGCATGAAAAACGACTGACCTCCATTCTTTCACAGCTGCAGCACCGAGGAGTACCATCATGTTCATGAGAAGGGCAGTATTTCTGGATCCAAAATGGATGTGCCCTATATTCAATAAGACCAGCATGGTTTGTTGGAATCTGTCAAAAGATATATATTACAAAAGAAGCAACACCAACTGACAATGAGTGATACATTTAAAGAGATTAGATCGAATCAATGTCTTTAGTTGTAGCAACATGACGATGACATTAAACTCAAAAACTCATGTTCTTAAAAAAGGCGTTTTTGAATCTACCAAATGTACTAGCTATGAATTATGATTTCACATAAACATATATAGATAGCTATTTACATAAGTTTGTGTATGAAAATACTTACAAAGTGTTTACAAACATCACATTTTGGATGATAGTTCTCCTTATAACAAGACTTATGATAGGGGTAGTTTCCAGATGTTGAAAACTGCAATGGGGAGGAAAATATGTGTAAGCAATACAAGAGTATTCAAGGTCTCGGATACTATATAGTAAAACAACATAGAGTAAACAATTTGTGTTATTCGCCTACTAGAATGTTTGGCAACTACCTCATAATCAGAAATTGGAAGGTTGCAAGCATGGCAGCGAAAACATTCTGGATGCCAATACGCATTCAAGCAGTTCAAATAGCGTCCATAACCAATCTCGGCTTGGCAACCAGCACATATCCTACCAAAAAGAAAAGAGTTTTCTTGTTCAGACGTGTTCGGGAAGTATAATAGCTGAAAAGCTATATTTAACTTGTGATTCGGTGGTCCATTAAAGAATCATATACCTGTACCCCATTGGGTAGTACATTGGGATAGGTTGATATATATTGTGGTTACCATTCCCATTCCCATTCCCATGTCCATTTCCATAACCATATCCATTTCCATATCCATTTCCATTTCCATATCCATTTCCATATGTGGGAGGAGACTCCACAATAAGACTTTCTTGTATAGCTCGAGCAAGTTGCTCATCTTCTTCCAGTTGAGACTCATTATCTAGGCAATATTGGAAATTTTGGTTCAAACTTTTAGCCATTTTTATCGTAAGACTAAAGGGATAATAAAAAAAATCTTCAAAGAAAAAACTGAGAATCTCTATTGCTTCGTTGAAAGTTAATGGCTCAATGCCATTGCATCAATGCATCTATTTAATTGACAGATAATACCATTTTCTTGAAATTAAAAAATATTGGAACACATTTTTTTAAGAGATTTTGAATTCTTATTCAGACTGAAAAAAGTGATATACTAACGAGTAAAAGATCACAAGATACTGGTTTGAGCATGCACCAGCAATGTAATGGTTTGAGCATACGGCATTACATAACGTGAACTGAAGAGCATGCACTAGCTAAATCACTCAGTACTCACCAATTAACCTTTTTCCTTTTTGGTTTTCTTCTAAGAGAGACAGTGCAATTGCTCGGTCAATATCCTCATTCTCATTTCCTGACCACATTTCCTACATTCAAGTTCCAAACTGAAATTGGTTAAGGAGGTTAAGCATATAAGAGAGCTGACAAAAAAATAAATAAACTAAATCTAAAAAGATCTGTCAAGGAACAATTTTTTTGCATAAAGACCAAAGAATTTTGCATTCTTTCTATGACAAAATCATTACTTGTAGAGAGCTTGTATCTCTTTAAGTTTTCCGCTCACCCGTGAAAATGTTAACTATGAGAGCAAACTTAGTTGTAACATACAAATTGATGCATGTTTTATCCTCGATGAAAGTAATAAAAAACATGAAACCTTTAATTATACGAGATTGAAGAACTAAAGTTCATAAGAGAGCATTGCAAGTGGCAAGATAAGATAGGCATAAATACCCCTGAATGGGAAGGAGTATAAGAAGTTGGATCCTCTCCATATCTATCATGGTAATGGCCACCATGACCTTCAGAAATTTTTTGGCTAGAGCCTTTAAAAATTTTGCTAAGCCAACCCATAATGCGCAATGTTATCTGCTCATGGCCAATTAAATCTCTAACTGCAGAGAAATGATAAGATTAACTTAAATCAGAAACTTGTGCTGAAAAAAGCTGGGAAAGAAATAATTATCTATAACCAAGTGACATTAATTCATGAGGAACAAGAAACACAGACTGTTTGCGAGCAATTTCTTGTTTCAAAATCTAATTTCCAAACACTATTACACGATACAGAAAAACGTGAGAAAAGAATTTCAAGTCAAACAATTTCATTAGCATAACCATTTCATTAATTTATCAGGAAATATATAACATAAAAATAAAAAATAAAACCCCACAAGGCATTATTGCTTCACAGGAATGTCCCGGCTAGAAAATGGAAATTGAGCATCAAACTCTTTTATATTTGTGTGGTTATGTATACATATAATAGAGAGAGATTCTTTCTTCTCCTAAACTATGATCATTAAATTGATGACGTTTAACATTTAATCTAAGCTTAAAGGAGAAAAGAAAGGGAGAAAAAAGGTAAGAGAATCAAATAGTGGAGGAATGACTCACCTCTAACCAATCAACAAACCAAAGGAACCGTGAAAGTAGAGCAGACCCAGATCAGATATGATCCCAACTCTCTCAAAAGCAACATTTGTTTTACAGTTTCATCAGAAAAAAATATATACAATTATATATTCTTGTTCGGAGCCTCTTTATTCTGAGGTAAATGAATAATCTATTGAAGGAGGACAGATATGAAAAGAAAAACAAGGATACCCTTTTATTGTTTCTTTCGATTCAGAGCAGTATCTGGCAGGGCAAAGGAACAATCGCAGAGGAAAATGGGAAAAGGAAATAATTTCGATCATTCACGTGCACAGAATAAATCCTAAATAAAAAAGAAGAGAGACAGAGAGAGAAAGAGAGAGAAGTTGTATAAAAGCAAAGCAAAATAATAGGAGAATAAGAAGAGTTTCTCAATTGTACGCCATTTGAAAGTCAAATTTGGAGAAAAATGTAGGAGTTTTCAAAAGGTTTTTTGTCTCAAGTCTTAACTTAAAAGGGATTGACGAGTTCCATTAAAACCCAGATGGGGAAAATCAATTATATTCCTGAAGTTGGGAAAGCATATATTTCTGGGTGGGGGAACCTTGAAACTTCTTCAACGACAAGACACCCAGCAATGCCCTTGAGGAAAGCGTAAAAGGGCAAACGAAAATAAGAACAAAAGACAACAACGACAATAATATTCATCATTAACAATATCTAATACAAATAATAAATAAATATATAAATAGAAGTCTTCAAAACTACTTTCTCTTTCTGCTTACGGATTGATATTTTATTATTATTTTTATATTTATATTTGTGGAACGCGTTGTGTACTTTCGTTGGCCAACTTGCGTCCCATGACTGAGCAATATTTTATTTTTGGATTATTTTTATAATTACCCCGAATTGTGTACATCGATTTAAAATACCTTTAATTTTTTAAAACGGTTCAAAACACTTCTTAATTTATAAAAAATAGTTCAAAATACTATTTCCATCTAATTCTATTATAATTAGTTGAAATAATTAAATATTAAAAATAACAATATAAAAAATTATTTCAAATAAAAAACCTCTCTCTCTCTTTGTCTCTTATCTTCCTTTTTGTCTCTTATTTTCCTCTTCTCTCTCGCCAAACTTGTTACAAAATCACCTTCTAGATATCATTATCAGATTTAACACGACGTGTCTACGACATTGAGGGCTGGCTAGCTGCCGTTTGTTTGCGATGAGGTTAGTTGGCTCGTGATGGCTTCTGGAGAGGGTTGGCGCGGCGCAGAGCTTGAGGGGTGGGTGAGAATGTAATGACGGAGTCTTGGGTTTCAAGGACCCGATGAGGATTTCTCAAACCCGAGCATCCACACTTTCTCAGACTTGAGTTTTTTGATTTTGGTCCCCCTAACCTATAGACTTGAGCATCTGCATTCTCGCCACCGTTCATCTTCCTCGAGCTGGGGTCTGCAATGGGCAAAAGCGACAGAGAGACGAGGGTTGCAGCAGAGGCAACTAATGAGAGATCGCCATTGTCATTATTTGGTTGAGGAGTTGGGGTGGAGAAGCCCTCTTGTACATCGTTGATTTGGTCAGACTTGAGAGGTTTTAGGATCGCCGATTGAGCTCCAACAGTTTAAAGATTTGGGGATTAGAGGTTAGGGTTTTGGAGGGCTGAGGTTGAGGTTCGTCATTTATTTATTTTCTATTATTTTTTAATACTTAATCATTTTTTAGGTTTAATTAGAATTTAATACCTTTAATTAATACTTAATGATGAGCCACGTCAGCAATTCCGTTAGTAGTATAGATGGAAGTAGACAGAAAGGACAATTTGATCTATTTTGTATAGATCGGGGAGTGTTTTGAACTGTTTTGATAAATTAGAAGGCACTTTAAAACAAGATACATAGTTCAGGGGGCATTTATGAAGATAATCCCTTAAAATATGGAGTGATAAATTATATTTTAGTAAAAGAAAGTGTTGATTTTATAATTATTTTTATTGTTTTTAGGTTATAATTAAATGAGAAAAAGACCACACAGACCCTCGTTGAGATTGAATTCGAGCCTTTAAATCACACCCCACCGGTAGAGAAAAAAGAGGTCACCCTACCATAGACACGCCCTTTATTTTTTCCACACTTTTTTATAAAACCACTCACCAATTGAATTTTAAATTTCATTTATTACCTTTTACACCCCTCTTGTTATTCAAAATATACCTATAACTAAATTGTATTATTTTTCTCCCTCTTTTTTCATCCACTAATCAGCCAGTGACCCTTTTTATTTAATAACCGTTTATGTTTTCAAAATTTTCCCCACATTTCTTGTTACGTATCTTATACCAATATATATACACATTGTTCGTCTTTCTTGATTACGTGCTTTCTAAGTGTGAAGGGGAAAATCCCATTGTTCGTGCGGTATTATGACTATGTTTGTTTGAGATGAAATATAGGTTGAGGAAAACATCTTCTTATGTTATCAAAAGTGGTACACAATGCGATGCGAATTTGAACAAAAGGTTTGATGATGAACATTAAAGTGTAAGCACGCATCACAACTACATGATGGAAAACAAACGAGTCTTAGAGGGATCAACAACCAACATTCTCATATAATTTAGGTCACAATGCAACATGTTAAAATTTAAAATTTAAAAAGTGAGAAAAAAAAATGTGGATGCCTTCGAAGTTTGTGGTAATGTTACTATATAAGAATCAAACTTGCAATATTTGATTAGTCTTCGGAAAAGAAAAATGCGAGAGAAAATATATTTATTAATTTTCAAAGTATGTTTATTAAATTAATAATGTGAGGTGTGTAAAGAGAATGTTTTAAAATTTTTTATCTTTTAAAGTAATTTTTTATTTGGGTAAATGTTATGAAAAAAATGTCTAAAGAGTAGACAAGGGGGAATAATAGACGTCCCCCAACCATAATTGGCACTCTAATGGTTAAAAAAAAAAAAAAGGAAAGTTAGTAAAGCCATCTTTGTTTTGTTGACATTGACACTACACAGTACACACATACATTTATTTATCTTTTAAATTTAACATAAACCATTTTGGTTTAAAATGACTTCGCGAGTGATTTCTATTCTAACATAAAAAATTCGATAGTAACACATTAATTTGGTATTATATTGAAAGTGCTCTAAGCACGTCGAATGTTGGAGGGAAAAGCACTTAAAAACATGCTAATTTATTTATTTATTTATATAATCACCCAAACCATGGTAGCGAAGGAAAAAAAAAAAAAAAAAGGTGAATATTCTCGTTTGCTGACTCTTGCCATATGTCAATGTGATATAAGCGGGTAAGGAACCACCTTTGACAGCTTCACTTCACAAGAGTCTATTTTAAATGAAGGACGAATTTGATTCATGACTAATAACTGGTAAGAATTAAGATGACGCTTATATCCATATTGTTGTATAACTGCGAGTCACAAGAGTTTGAGATTTATGATAATGACGCAAATAACAATACCCCACGTTAATTACAGGGCTACATCTATCAACAACTCCACCTTATATTTATGTTTTTTCAAATTATTTTTGTCACTTAAATAAAAAAATATATATTTTGCTATCTTTATTGATCTTCCTTTTTACCTTTCTTCATAGCAAAAGTTTTGGATCTTTTTTGTCCTGCCACTAAGTGAGTTTGGAATCTTTATCCAACGGTCATCTTCGTTATTCTTTTTTATTTTTAAGAGTTCTTTTAGAGATTCTTCACACTTTTTTTTTCCTTTCTTTTTCACATTTTTCTACTCCATAAAAATTGCACCCAAAATGAAACTTTACTTTTTCATTTTAACCTATTTTTTAGTTCTTAAAAAAAGAATTAATTTCATAAATGCCTCATGTACATTATTTCAAAGTACCACTCTCGCCGTCGCCACCTTACAATCGCAGCACTCCCCCGCGAACCCAGTCAAACAACCTCAGAAGCGCACTGCCTCCCTCACGAACAACCATTCCGATTAAAAACCAACAACAACCACAATTGTCCGATCTATATATCCCAAAATATATCTATGTATCTCACAATATATCGCCACATTTAGATGATGAATCTTTGGTCTTGTCTGTAAAAACCCAAACTTGCTCTCCTCTCTCACACAAACAGCGAACATCCTTGTTGCTCCATAGATCGTGTATTTCAAGAAAAAAATTGCAACGAGCGCAGAGGATGAAATTTTGATGGGAAGGGAAAGTTGGGGCATTTTTTTTTTTTTTTTTTTGGTTTCAAATCTTTCCAGAAAATTATTTTTTTAACGTTTTCTTATTTTTTAAAAACATTTTTGTTTATTCCCTATTTTTTTTAATATTTAACCATTTTATGTATTTAATTAGAATTTAATAGTTTCAATAAATTTTAATAATTGTCACGTCAGTAAATCCGTTAAGATTATAGACGAAGTTGGATAGAAGGGGTATTTTGAAAAGTTTTTTGTAAATTAATGGGTGTTTTGAACTGTTTTAAAAAGTCAGGGAACATTTTAAAATAAGATACATACTTCAAGAGGTTTTATGAAATTAATCTTATTTTAAATAATGACAAAAATATCCTCCTTTTAACAAATTAAAAACAAATCCGACTACTTCTTTTTTTCCCTGAAAATGAAACTCACTTGTTTTTAAATGATTATCACACATTTTTTTCTCTTTAGAATAACGATTCTACCCTTATTTTCAGATTAATTTTTTGAGAAGTTGATACAAATTTTCACTATAATGACAAAATTTAATTTTTTATTTCTCAAAACTCCCTTTTAAAACTAATTAGAATTTGTTAAATTAGTTGTTCTAATATTTATTATTGCAATAATGGACTATAAAAACACATCAAAATAAATACGAAAATTAATTATCTGACCACATTCATATAAATTTCTAACAAATACACAAATTAATTTTATAATCAATATCCCCAAACTCAACGCATGCTAGCCATCACCCTTGGTGGCGCATCCATGCGTGCCCGGAATAGTAAGAAAAGTTTATTTATTTATTTATTTTTTAAGAATAATGCACAAAAAAATTCCAACAAATAACTCTCAGTAATTGATGAAACTGATTTCATCCACAATGCATACATATTAATTTCCAACAATATACATATTGATTTTCAAAATAAAACTCGTTCATTCCACCGATTTAAATTTTTAATTTTAAGTTTTAACAATTAAAAGCTATCAGTAAATGTCACCTCTAACTTTTTCTGTTACAGTTAAAAACTCTAAAAAAATGTCACATCTCAGCTCAAATTGAAAACTCGAATCCGCAAAATCAACGAGGCCTAAAAATAATTGTTTTTATCAAATATACAATTTTGGTTTTTTGCACAGAACCCCTTATATTATTGCTTAAATTATATAGACATAATCTATAATGTTTTACGCCAATACATTCTCCTGTTATTTTATTTTATTTTAAATAAAGACACCTCACTGCATGACCGTTAAGTACGTTTTATGAAAAGAGCATTTTTATCATTGTTTATCAAAAGAAAAAATTAAATTCTTAAGCCTTACTCGCTCACAAGTGACAGGTTACAACCATAAGGGTGTTTATTGTGGGGAAATGATCAAGAATGCCATAAAAAATAAAAAATAAAAAATTTGCCATTAATTTTAAATTCATCATTATTTTATGGCACTAAAAAAATATTCTGCTAGGTTATTTTAGATATTCTGGTAGGTTATTTTCAAAAAACAAAAAAGTAAGTTTACTCTACGAATGCATCTCTCTTTCTATCCTCCTGACGGTGACGGAGAGAAACAGCTCGGAGACACTCTGATGCGATGGTCGAGATCTCGATGATGATCTCGTCTCGATTTCCATGGGAGATTGATGGCCGAGACCCTTTATGTCCTCCGTTTCATGACAGAGATGATTGAGGAGGCTTCAGAGCGTTTCCACTCAAGCGCCGACGACAACATACTCACAATTTTCGATTGCTGATAGAAGCCTGCGACAGAAATCGTACAGAGCATGCCGAAAAAACAGTGGCGGCTTTGCAATCTTCACGCAGATCCAACGACTCGAGATTGAGTTGTCCATATCCGACAACTTTGCGTGAGGAGCTCGAGTTTCGACAGCTTTGTATGCATTCCGGCGAATTTGGCGCTGCAACTCACGATCTTCGTTGGCAACAGCTTGAGATCGACATGGTCCGCCTTTGTGATGGAGTTCGGCCGACATTAACAGAGATATAGAGAAGGTGAGAGGTGAGAGAGAGGTTGAGGGAGATGAAGAGATAACGGGAGAGAGAGAAGAAATAGAGAAAGCGAGAGAAAAGATGGAAAAAAAAATAGTGGTATCAATTTTTTTTTTTTAATGGCATAAATAATAGCATTGTTGAAAACAATGACAGATTATATTATTTTCTGCCCAATTTATTTTTGGGTATATTTGTGTTTTCCCTACAGTAGGGTGCAAGTTTTAAACCTTTAGGCCACGTTTGTCAGTAGATTTGAGTTTTTAATTCGAGCTGAAATGTGATATTTTTAAAGAATTTTTAACTGTAGAAATCTAAAATTGAAAATCCGAATCGGTGAAATGAACAAAGCCTTAGTGATACTGCAACTTAATGATTGAAAAATCTCTTATTGTCACCGGCAAAAAATGATTGAAGCTTATCGGAACAATAGAGAGAAAATATAAGAAAAAACCTATTACAAAGATTGTCACAGATAAATAATGATTGCAGCAGCTTATCTGAACAAATAGAGAGAAAATAGAAAAAATATATTGCAGAAAAAATCTCTTTTCTCTTAGATGAATCTTATTTGAGATTACTAAAGTAAAATACTGAACAAGCGTATTATTAATAATGTGGCTTCTAACAACTTTAATATCCTTTTTGTTAACCTATACTATTTGACAGTAAATTCTATCCATAATTTTAGTTTAAACTACATCTTTTTGACATATTTATAAGTCAACAACTGACATTATGTATACACACCACGTGGGACAAATATAATATATTAATATAATTTCAACATAATGTATCAAAAATGTTTTTTTTTACTACTCCTTTTCTTTTTTGTGTTTTTCCCATTTTCGACGAGACATGTGTACCGTTTTATATTGCGTTGCACAACACCCTAATGCCACTGCCCACTGATAGATAATTAGTATTGTTATCTTGGTAATGATAGTGACATATATAATATACCACTATATACGTCCTAATAATATTTCAGAAAATGAGCTCTAACAATATAATTTGTATTTAGCAATCAGAAGAATACATATGCATCCAATTATATCTTCTGGATGCTTGCTCCAAATTAGGAAATTAGGGATGTTGACGTTTGTTGAAGATCAAACGTGTTACATAACATAGTGGCAATTATGAGAGTTTGCCGAACTGTTTTAAACAAAGGTGGGCTCTCACAGGCTTGTGATCAGAACCGTATATATCGTCCATTGATTCATAAGAATGCAAAGTTACATCTCTGTGATCGATGTCTTGAATCTTGAACAAAATACGATCCGTCCACGATGGCACTCTCACCTGTGAAATGAAAAGATACATGTTTTAGCTAAAGAACTCTAAGAACTGTATCGTCCAAAAACATGAAAAAAGAAGACTAATTTTAAACATTTTTAACCATCACAATTCACACAGATCCACGCATTTGTGTACCTTATAACTTGTATCATAGTTGCTGGTTCCAACGTTATACTTATATGTTGGCTTGAACGTCAATGTACCATCACAATATCCATCGAAAATCTTCCCTCTTTCAGCCTCTTGAAGGAGCTGATCCTTGTACGTCAGTAGCTGTGGAGGATATGAAAAATAAAATTACAAAAACATTACTCTATGAAAAGCAAACTAAATTTTGTTCATTTCACGGGGATTTTTTTTATAAGATAATTTTGTTATACATACATATATATATATATATATAATAGCTTTACTTTGTGAAGGCCTTTGTGAATTAGATTTCTGGCAGGATGGTTAGCGATCCCTTGAACTCTGTAATTGAGATCTCCCAACCACACGGTGATTTGGGTGGGTCTGGCATAAGGGTTCCAGTCTTTAGAGAAGAGCGAGTGTGATATGTGCCTGCATTGCGAATTTCTCTCCTCCACTTTGTGTGCATGAGCTGAAATATGTTACAGAAACGAAACCATTTTATCCTAACGAGTCATTGCTATTGAAGAATGAAATGCGTGACATTAGCTATTAAATTGGACGAGAACATGATTTTAGTTTTTTTTTTTTTTTTTTTTTTTTTTTCGGGAAAATTGAATTAACTTGAAAACGCCAACTTTTAAATCATAAACTGATGATAGTAAACTACATGTGGTTTTCTAGAATAAACGACAACAAAGTCAAATAAGTTACGACACGTCTCTAAATGGAAGCAAAATTTAAATGAAAAAACGACATGCAATCCAGACCAGTGCCTTCTTAAAAATGCACCGCCTGGTTTTTCCAATGCCGTTAAGATACGTGAACGATGCAAATATTTTAATAGATCACATTTCTGTTGCCTAAGTAAACGACAGATAAGTTTAAAAGGTATGTCGTTTCTCGACAAAGAACGTTTAGAAATGCACGTCATTTTCTATAAACGACATAAAATTATGACAGGAGAACGATAGTGTCGTTTGCAGTAACGATACCCACATTCAGACTTTTAAAGGACACTTCGGTTTCCAATACGAACTACCATAAACCACACATCGTTTGTTTACATAAACGACAACAATCTACATAAAAACAAACAGCGACATGTTTTATTTCCAGCAACAAATAAGTTTAAAAGACCAAAAGTATGTCAGTCGTTTCTCACGAGACAACAATAATTTGTGGGAGAAGATATGTCATTTTTTTTTTTTTTTTTTTTCAAAAGAGAGCAAAATTTTAATCCGAAACGACACATATTAGTTATAATAAATTCACTCAAAAATCAATAGACAAGAATATTAAATTATTCTAGAAATAACGTGTCCCTTCTGTATATCTAAGTGGACAAAGAAAGAAAAATGTTTCCTTAATTAAGAGGCTCAATACAGACGAAAACCTAAACAAATAGATCATGACCGATGAGCAAGGGCTAACTTACCGGAGAGATGGCAAGAAACGAACATCATGTGGATGCCTTTGTACTTGATGCGGATTGCGACTGCTCCCTTCTTTCTCCTTATAACTCCTCCACAACCCCCTACCGAATGCTTATCCACCTTCACTTCTGTCCAAGTTCAATGTAACATATTACAAATAGTACTTAAGCTGAGAAACTCAATTTGTTTTAGAAAACTACAGCATAGCTCACCTTTGATGAACAAATCTGACTTCTTTGCCCCGAAAACGTACAGTTGCAGAGATTGCATGATGGCTTCTCCTAACAGCCTTCATTAATTATCTCAATATTCATGTTATTTTAATTGTACTGATTAAAAAAAAGGGCTATGTAAATCAATAAGAAAGAGAAATTTACGTGTAAGACTCAACGAGAGCTTCCTGGAGAAGATATGAAACGTTTCGGCGAGGCACTTCTTGCAGACCTACAACGAGAAGATCAAACTGCCGATTGTCCCCCACAAGGTCTGCCAAATCTTCTGAAGAGACCTGAAGAAAGGCAAGAGAATAAAACAATAAGTGAGAATATGACCACTATGAGATCAATAATTTCCTAGCTAGGCAAAAAAAAAACATAGCATCCTCACCTTCAGATTATTCATGTTCCAGGTAATAACGCAAATGCAAATATTTGAATTTTCGGTCGATAGCTCACAAAGATTATCCGCCTTTATGGTCCTTATTCCGCCATGATGATGATCGGTACTTGTGGAATTGCCGTCTCTGGAATAACTTTTTCTTCCCTTCCACTTGGACCTTCCAGGGCGAAATCTAAAATGTAATCAATTTTTCAAACACGGATAATTTGACTTCTAAAATAAGATAAAGTTCTAAACAAAGGGAAAAGGGGAAAAAAAGAGTTAAAAACTGATGTCCTAGCTAGAGCATGGTCGACGGAACTGCACGGATACGTACCCTTTACTAGCATGAATGGAGCTGAAATTTCCCATCTTCTTGCTTCGTTCTTCAACAAACTAATTAGGCGACGCTTATATATATATATATATATATATACATATTTACGTATAAACTTGAGCTTTTCAATGTTTTAATAAAAAACTTCAAGCAATGTTGTGAGATAGAGAATTAGGTTATCATTGCAATCATTGACCTAGTTTAAATACGTGATGTTCGCAATCGAGTATTGGAAACTTGGCTTTTTGGCGGTGAAGTTAGAGAAGGAAAGTCAAAGTTGTAAAATGATCGGATATGTTTCTCCTATTTGGATTTTCTTCCACGAGTTAGGTTGCACGTAATTGACAAACGCAAAGAAGTTGAATCAAAGATGAAAATGACCAGCGAGCCTGTCCATTAGTGCCGTACATATGACTTTTATTGCATCTGAAATTAAGATGAACTTTTGTATGACATATGTTCATGTAGGATTGATCTCTTAATCAGCCAAAAAAAAAAAAGAAAAAACAGTGAGGGTAACACAACTTCAATCACAACTCCATGGATTAAAAAAAAAAAGATAAAAAAACTACCTTAATTATCACTATAGCATAGAAAAAAGCACGGACATTTATGAACCTTCTCGAATGCCATAAGATCTTCTACCACACTTTTCTTTTTATATATTAAGGAGTTTCTTAGGGTAAGGCATACTCTAGTCCACCATAATATATGTTTCTAAACATTCATTAAAATGAACAAATATGCAAAATTAATAGTGTTGATAATGAGTATTTTTTAACACTCAATAGTAAACATCATTAACTTAAAATGGGTAATATTCGGCCCGCCCTAAAAAAAAATGAGAGAGAGAAAAAGAGAGAGTGAGTTGGTAGGAGTTTTGAGACCGCCTCTGAGCGCGTCGTTGGACCTTCGGTCCTGAAAATTAGTTACAAGGCTCGTATCGTTGTGGGCTTTTCGATGGAAGTGGTAGTTTTTGGTGAGATGGCTTTATTGGGATGGATCTAATTTAGTTTAGAGGATGAATTTCGGACATATTGGAGACTTTTTTGGCGTATTTCTCGTCTAGTGGTCATACTTTTTTGGGATTTTGTTCCAAACGGTAGTGGGCTTCTTTTGGAGGTGGTCGTGTTGGCTCCGGATGTTCACAGTGGTGGCACATGTGTTTCACGTTCTGCTGTTTGAAAGCATCTCATCGGCTTCGCCGCTTGTCTCGCGAAGCGTTCTTCCTACTCTGATGGTCCTCTTGTCTGCTATATACTATCATTGAAGGCTTACGACAATCGTACTTGCAGTTTTAGTTGTTTATGTTTTAGTTTAATAAAGGCGATGATATTTCTACCATGTAGTTTTAGTATTTGTTTGTAATAATGAAGGTGGTTCTTCCATTGTTTGCGTTTGTTTTTTATCCGCGAGATTTCGGTCTTAACATGTTAGAAGTTTCGCTAGCTATGAGTCTAGGCGGAGATGTTTGGTGGCCTTAGAGCTACATGTTACATGCTCTTGATGGATCGAAAGCTTTTATCGATTGTGCTGGTTCTAAAAAGAGCCTTATCGATTGTACAAAGTCACTTGGTACTAGGTGTAGGAACCCAAACAAGATGATCGGCCGGGAAGAAGTGACACACGGGAAAAGTCCCCGGTTCAATCCTAAGCACACGGAACGACACGTGATCACGGCTCCAATGTGAGGTATCCATGTGACAAAAGGCAACAGCTTCAACTTTATCTCCATTTTCACCCCCTAATGAGATTTTGTACACTTTGTTCTCACTCTCCTGGTAATGGCAATAGTATACTGCATGGTGTGACTTACCTTTGAGTCACATAGTACTACTATGTGTGTATTGCCTTTGAGTCACATAGTACTACTATGTGTGTATTCAGATTAATAAAGTGGAATTTTTTCGGTATTAGGTCTCGTCTTGTGTTGTCTTCCTTATGCTTTTTCAGAATTTACTGATAGAATCAGTTTTATTGAGTATTTTATATTGTGTACCACAGGATCATTTGCATTAGTATTGGTGTTTGTATAACATTTTAGTTGAATGAAATTTTATCCTTAAAAAAAGGGTAATATTCTTAAATAGGACGTAAAATTGAAAAAAAAAAAAAAAAAGAGTTAAGAGACACATTTCTTATTCTTCTCATATTAATGCTCTATATTCTCCTGGAGAAAATTAAGAAGCACACGACAACCTGTATATGTCATTGTATTTATGGCACAATTTTTTGCAAACAAATAGTTGAGAATATAAATTTTTTAAGAGTTTAATAAGCAAATGTTAGTTGAAGAAAACATACGAAAAAATATCAAATTTTGGAAAATAATTTTTAAAAATACAAAAATGCCCTTCACTAGAAATACCCCCTTTATCTCCTCCCTCTTCCTCTTCCTCTTCCTCTTCCTTCTCTCCTCAAAACCACAGACAGTGTGCCAGAATTGTGAAGTCGGTGACGGTGGAATCAAAGCTCGTGACGGCGTCGGCATTTCAGAGATGGCAGATGGCGAAGGGGAAGAGAGAGAGAGACATAGAGAGGGCGAGAAAAGAAAGATGCACACTGCACAAGGATAAAGAGAGGTGCATAAGATAAGAGAGAAAGAGGGAACCATAGAAAGAGAGCGTGACATATTATTAAATTTTAAGTATTTTTTATGGGCACTTTCGATAATGCAGTGTATTAAAATATTTAATTTAAGCTTTTCTGCTATTTACTAAACAATTCTTAATATCTTCTATTAATTTTAATTATCTTTCCCAAATACATTATTTCCGTCGTGCTCCCACTTTTTTGTCTTGAATTTATAGCATATTTTGTTGACCTTTTAACCAGCCACCAGCCACCAGGCCCAGTAACTGGTTGCAAACAGAGGCCCAGGCCATACCCGCTCACACTGTTTTGCGCGTGCACCTGGGAAGGTTAGCCCTCGGCTCATAAGCTGACTAAGGAGACGTTTGGTTCATTGATTTAAAATTATGATTCAGAATCATTCTCGGTTCACATGTATTTTTTGTGAAAAAAATACTATAACGAGTCACGAATTATGATTCGAATAATGACATTACATTGTTCCAAGCGCACTCTAAAATTCAAAGGAAGACCAAGTTGCAACACTTCTCATGTACTTTAAAGCTAATACAAATGTTTTGAGGATCACAGTGAAAAAAGCGAGTCTACTCTCTACAGTAGCTCATAAAGTCATCTATAATTATTTGTTCACTCAACTTTACTATCTTACGCGGGATCGCTAGTTGCCACATTTTCGCTCCATTTCAAACCTTTCGAGTCAGTAAGTTTTTTAATGTTTAGCCATTCCTCATCAATGAAACTTGAACTTTTGTCGTTTTTTTGCTTCCTTACTTATCTATTATAGCTGCGTAAACAAAAGTTCCTTTTTTTTTTCACTTTAATCACAAAATGCGATATGGCACTGGTCCCAAGTGATAATTTATCTTGAAGTTTTTTTTAATTGATTTTTTAATTTTTTGAGATGATCTGCCACCTACATATGTTATTGGGGCTATAGAGATTTGGCTGACATAATGCATCTGTAGGGTTTGTTGCTGCCAAAAGCGATTGTTATTTTTGGTTTTGAATGTAGCTTAAATCTATGGTTGAAATCTCTTTTATGTCTTGGTGATATAGATATTTTTGTAGCATATCTAATATGTCTTGGTTCCTTAGTTTATTGGCTAGGTCAGTTTGTTTATTTACTGTTCAATGTCTATAGCCTCTAAAATTGGAGTTATGGCCTCTTTTACAGTTACTTTATAAGTTTCTAAGCTTTATGCTTTCCTGGGGTTTATAATTAAGCATCCGTTGGTCCTTCTTTTTACTTTCACTTATTGGAGATCTATTTGTAGTTTGATCTTCTGACCCCAACTAATGATATGGCCTATGTAACCAATGCACTCCCTTTTTTTTTAATACTTTTTGGTAACGTGTTTTCCCCTTGCATCTTCATGTTATTTTCATTCTGGTTGTATGTGGAAACGTTCCCTCCCATGGTCTTTATGTTGTTATCTACTATTTTATATATTAATATAGCACACTGGGTTCAAATATTTACCAATATTGTATAGTTAAATGGCAGAGAATTCAAATTTTCTGTTATGAACCTTTATAAATATCAGAATGCCTTTTCTGGTTCTATTTCATTTTCACCAAAAAAAAAAAAAAAAAAAAAAGCCCTCATTGAGACTTTGTTTTTCTTGCATACAGAAATTCATAAAACATCAACATTGGCTTCTTCCCAAGCTAAATACAAACTCCAGAACATAAATTTAGCATTCATAATCCTTTTCACATACATTAACACTGCATTGGTCCTTAGGCAATACACACATAGTAGTACTATGTGACTCAAAAAAGTCACTTGGTACTAGGTGTAGGAACCCAAACAAGATGATCGGCCGGGAAGAAGTGACACACGGGAAAAGTCCCCGGTTCGATCCTAAGCACACGGAACGACACGTGATCACGGCTCCAATGCGAGGTATCCATGTGACAAACGGCAACAGCTTCAACTTTATCTCCATTTTCACCCCCTAATGAGATTTTGTACACTTTGTTCTCACTCTCCTGGTAATGGCAATAGTACACTGCATGGTGTGACATGCCACCATCTTGAGAGCCAATATCTCCTTAGGCACATCAAATATAGTGTAGTTTTGGAAAGTTGTACTTGACTTGGTCAAGAAGGTAGTTGTTACAACACTGAAACTCTCCTCCAACCCGAACGCGCCACGTACGAAATCGAGCATGGATTCCAAGGACGTAGCACAGAATTTGGTCTCCCCTTTGATGGGCTCAATCTCACACAAGCTTAGAGTGCTCTCCATGGCTTTGGCTTGTGGAGAGTCTTGAGAGAAACAGAAGAAGTTGAGAAGGTTAGGGAGCTCTTTCAATGAGAATGGAATTGAAGAAGCTTCATATCTGGCCAACAAGTGAGGAGAACTTGAAGGGTCTTTCTTGGGAAAGTAAATAGGTATATTTTGCCCCACTTTCATGTCCTTCAAAGTGAAGAAAATCATTTGGGAAGGGTCTCTTTGACTCACCCCTTTTTTGATCTCATCATTATTGATTGGGAGCTGCAAGTAATTTTATATTTTTCACTCATCTTCCTAGATTCACTACCATCAACAAGCTGCAAAAAAAGAAAAAGAGAAAAATGAAAAGAAGAGAGATCAGTAGCATAAATCTGGATACACATACTAAAATTCCAACTTTAAAAGAACAAAAAGGGATAAGAGAGTACTAAAATAATGATCAAGAAAGTTTATACTTTACCAGAACAACTAGTATGTGAAATAAAAGATTCCAAGAAGCAACTCCGAAACCGAAACGCGACTTTCTCGATCGGTTGCCGAAACTCCTTCGAATTTTTCCGCTCATATTCAACTTTTGAAAAGGTGAGTAGAGAAATGAAATGGATGAATTTATACTAGAGGAAGAAGATCTTTATAAAGGGAAAAACTGTTTTCAACTTGGTTGTGATATTTATAATTGTTGTATAGACACATAAGTTGGGCCTTGTGTTAGTAATAACTGTCTCATTTATGCCATACTACTAGAAAAAATTCTGATAGAAAAGAGTCCCTCACTAAATATATTCTGCACAAGGTAATTTAAAAACAAAAAAAGGAAACAGGAAACTCCATATTAGCTGTTTACAAAAAGTTAGTTTTTTTTTTTTTTTTTTTTAATGGAAAAAAAATAGAGAATGGTGAAGGAACGAAAGCCAGAAAAAAAAGAAAAAAATCTCAATTGGAAACACAGGCCCCACATCTCCTTTGGTGGCCTGCACTCGGTCAAATAGATGACAACCCGTTTGACACTCGATAACATCTATCTTAGATATATTTTACATAGAACTCATTACCTCTCTGGAAAGTGTATACAGTTGTTTCTATTTCCATTAATTTGTTTGCTTCAATTTTATATAAGGCGGCAATTTCAATCAGATTAAACAAATATTTATTATAAATCTTGGACAAAAAAATCAAGACTGATATAACAAGTTATTTATCTTAATAGTTCAATTATTGTTTCTATAAATAAATAAACACACACAAGAAGGTGTTTTTCGTGTGCTTTTTTCAGTTGGTGGGCACGTAACTCCGCAAAAGACAAAATTGAGCTCCATACAAGAAATACATTTTTAGCTCTTTCAGTTAGCCCTCTGCATGATCCAGTGTAGGCTTTCCTGATTAATAAGATAATAAACTTATTGTTAACCTCGATACCGCCTAAAATCTTCTTGATGTGACATTTAAAAAGATACAGATCTAACAAAAATCACACAATAATATAACAAAATGAAAAGAAATTTAAACAAATTACCACAACAGATTAAGATATGAGTAAATACTGCTAGGAAACGTGAGTTTCCTATATTATGGGCCACATATTTATTCCATAATTATATTAAGCTATTTAATTAATTGAGCTAATTAAGTGATCTAATTATGAAAATCTCAAATAGTCTTCTAACAGGGTATGTGCTGAATGGGTGGATACCCATATTGACCCAATTAGGTTTAATGTGAGCCTAATGGGGCAATATAAAGAAACTTAGGTTATGGTCCCCAATACGTCAAATCATTCGGCAGTTTTCAATCTTTCCCATCTAGAGAGAAAACACCCCATCACGGAACTAAGGAGATTTGACTGAGGAAGGTAATAACCGTTGTGCTCGTTGTCTTAGAGAATTCTACTGGAGATTAAGGCTGTACCAATAGAAAAGGTATTTGTTCTAACTTATTTTCTTAGTGATTTGGTGTGATGATTCTTGGAATGTAGAATATGGATTCAAAGATCCAACAAGTGGTATCAGAGCGGTCATCACATTAAATTAATGAGAGAATTTTTATCTCCAATAGGCATGAAGAATTATTCATCAGGAGATACGCCCATAGTTAAGGGAGACAAGTTTAGTCTCAGTCAGTGCCCCAAGATGAAACGCTCCATTCCGGAGGCGTTTCAGGGCTCTATTACTAAGAGAACTAATGCCAAGAAGTTCCTTAAAGAACTTGAGCAATATTTTGCCAAGAATGAAAAGTCAGAAACGAGTAACCTTCTGAATAAACTCATTTTCATGAGGTATAAGGCAAAATGGAACATAAGGGAGTACATTATGGAGATGTCTAACATCGCTGGGACACTAAAGGCACTAAAGTTAGAGCTGTACGAGGATTTTCTTGTGCATTTAGTTCTCAAATCTCTTCTTGCATAATACAGCCAATTTAAGGTGGGTTATAACATCCAAAAGGAAAAATGGACTGTTAATGAGCTCATATCATATTGTGTGCAAGAAGAGGAAAGACTTCAGCGAGATAAGACTGAAAGTGCTCACTTGGCATCAACCTCTCAGAATAAGAACAAAAAGAGAGCCATGGATACTGCAAAAGGAACACCCAATCAGAAGAAAGTAAAGAAGCGGGATGAGAAATTCACTTGCTATTTCTGTAAGAAAGGAAAGACTCTCATTATGGTTTGTTCTAAAGTTAATTTAGCTTTTGTACCTAAGGATACTTGGTGGGTAGATTCTGGTGCTACTACTCACATTAGTATGTCTATGCACGGTTGCCTGTGGAGCCGACCGCCAAATGATGCTGAAAGATTCATCTCTGTGGGCGATGGCAAGAAAGTTCCAATTGAAGCTCTCAGAACATTTAGATTATTATTAAAGACTGGTGTCTATTTGGATTTGATTGAGACTTTTGTTGCACCGTCATTTAGATGGAATTTAATTTCTATTTCTAGTTTGGACAAATCCGGTTATTCTTGTTCTTTCAGAAATAATAAAGTTAGTCTTTCTCATAATTTAAATGTTGTTAGTACTGGTTCCTTAATTGATAATCTTTGTATGCTTGATATTGTTACTGCTGATAATGAAATTTTGCACACTAGTGCACGAGGTACAAAGTGAAAATTAAATGAGAATTCTGTCACCCTATGGCACAAGCGTTTAGATCATATCTCTAAACAGATAATTCAGAGGCTTGTGAGTGATGGAATTCTTGGTCCCCTAGGGCTACAGACGTCTTAGAACTCATTTATACAGATATGTGTGGACCATTCCCTACGGCTTTATGGAATGGTCAACAATACTTCATTACATTCATAGATGATTATTCAAGATACAATTACCTATACTTAATACATGAGAAGTCACAGTTAGTGGACGTTTTCAAGTCGAAGTTGAACTTCAACTAGGTAAGAAAATTAAGGCTGCCAAATCAGATCGTAGTTACGAATACTACGACAGATATGACGGATTAGGTGAACAACGTCCAGGGCCATTTGTTATCTTCCTAAAAGAATGTGAAATCGTCCCACAATACACAATGCCAGGCAAACCTAGCATGAATGGTGTTGCTGAGAGACAAAACAGAACTCTTAAAGACATGGTGAGAAGCATGGCTAGTCATTCTTCCTTGCTTGAATCACTTTGGGGAGAAGCAGTAAAGACTGCAGTTTATATCCTTAACAGGGTTCCAAACAAAGCAGTGGCCAAAACCCCATATGAACTGTGGACTGGAAAGAAGCCCAATATTAGGCATTTACATGTTTGGGGTTGTCCAGTTGAGGCAATGCCTTATAGGCCAAATGAACAAAAATTAGACTTAAGAACGGTCAGCTGCTACTTTGTTGGATATGCCAAACGCTCTCGGGGCTTCAAGTTTTACAATCCCACTACTAGGTCCTTCTTCGAGACGGAAAATGCGAGATTCCTTGAAGATGTCGAGTTTTGGGGAGAAGATAAAGTAAGGAGTGTTGTCTTTGAGGAAGAAGATTACGTTTCTCTTCACAATATTGCTATTGTCAATGACCAGGCTGTAATACCAGCCATTGTTCAAGATGCAACTCTGGAATAAGACAACAATGAGGTTCCCCATGCAGCACCTATAGAGAAAACTCAACAACCTCAAGAAGTGCCATTAAGGAGATCCACAAGAGAAAGGACAAGTACGATTCCAGATGATTATATTGTCTTTCTCCAAGAACATGAAGATGGTGTAGGCTTAGGGGAAGATGATCCTATCAACTTCCAACAAGCCTTACAAAGTTCTAATGCTCAAAAGTGGATTTATGCCATGAAGGATGAGATGAAATCTATGAAAGACAATGACGTTTGGGATCTTGTCGAGTTGCCTAAAGGAACAAAACCCATAGGTTGTAAATGGATATTTAAGACCTAAAGGGATTCGAAGGGTAACATCGAAAGATATAAGGCTCGTCTAGTTGCCAAAAGATTCACTCAGAAGGAAGGCATAAACTACAAAAAGACTTTCTCTCCGGTTTCTTTGAAAGATTCTTTTAGGACAGTTATGGCACTTGTGGCTCATTTAGACTTAACGCTACATCAGATGCATGTTAAGACAACGTTTCTCAATGGCGACATTGATGAGATGATTTATATGGTCCAGCCAGAAAACTTTGTATCTGGAGATTCAAAGTCTATGGTCTGCAAGTTAAAAAAGTCCATTTATGGTCTCAAACAGGCTTCCCGTTAATGGTATCACAAATTTCATCAAGTTATCACTTCTTATGGTTTTGAGGTGAATGCGGTCGATGATTGTGTATATCACAAGTTCAGTGGGAGTCAATTCATCTTCCTAATTTTTTATGTTGATGACATATTACTTGCCAGCAGCGATATAGGCTTATTGCACGAAACTAAGAAATTTCTTACTAAGAATTTTGAGATGAAAGATCTTGGTGACGCCTCTTTTGTATTAGGAATTCAGATACTACGAGATCACTCTCAAGGTATCCTTAGGTTATAACAAAAGGGCTATATTGAAAAGGTTCTAGATAGATTTGGCATGAAGAATTGTTCATTAGGAGATATGCCCGTAGCTAAGGGAGACAAGTTTAGTCTCAGTCAGTGCCCCAAGAATGAACTTGAGATAAAGGAAATGGAAAAGACTCCTTATGCATCAGCAATAGGATGTCTAATGTATGCTCAAGTTTGCACTCGTCTCGACATAACATTTATAGTGGGAGTATTGAGCAGATACTTAAGTAACCCATGAGTGGATCATTGGAAAATAGCCAAACGGGTTATGCGCTATTTGAAAAAACAAAGGATTACATGCTCACTTATCGGAGATCAGACAGACTAGAGATTATTAGGTATTCTGATTCTGATTTTGCTAGATGCCAAGATAGTAAGCGATCCACGTCAGGCTATGTTTACATGATGGTAGGAGGAGCTATTTCTTGGAAGAGTGTCAAGCAGACACTCATAGCTTCTTCAACCATGGCTGTAGAATTCATAGCCTTTTATGAGGCATCTAATCATGGGATATGGTTGCGAAATTTTGCCATGGGACTGCGTGTGGTTAATGGTATTGAGAGGTCGTTAAAGATATTTTGTGACAATAAAT